GACACAACTCCTCTGAGACGAAATTCCGACAGGCGACATAGGAATCTTGCGAAATGCCGACACGGCTGGTAGCGAATTTCAGACAGGGAACATGGGTACCCCCCCCCCTAACAGGGCCTCATAAAAAGCTGATCCTAAAGTTTAAACCGCGGCACCGTAAGTTCTTAACGTGTTCAACGTGCTCACTTAACGTGTCCACAAACTGAAACAATGTACAAATCTAATACTGCGTCACGTAGCTGTCTCATTACTGGCCTACAAAATGGGAGGAGAGGAGGAGGCGCTTATTCGAGGGGGGGCGCTTATTTTAAATTTCGGCCGATAGGAGGGGCGCTTATTCGAAGGGGGCGCTTGTTCGATGGGGGGGGGGGCGCTAATTCGAGGATTTACGGTAATAGTTAACGACAATAACAGAAACTTGAGGCGGAGCGTCATAACTACAAAGTGGGCCCTCGCTTCATTCAAATCCCTTCTAAACGACTCAAAAAGAAACAGAAACACAGGTAATTAACAGCACATTTATTTTTATTGCTGACTTAGTGTTCGGGTCCCCTATGGTCATACCTTGGGTGCTAGAGACTTTTCAAGTGCGGTTTCCGGTTTTGGTTAATCACGCGAAATAAAAAAACCTCTGATACCCAGGGTACTCTTGTTATCGATTTTAAAAATCGATAAATCAGTAGCAAGAAATTTTAGCGGATATCAGGTGGCAGTGATAACCTATGTATCAGGTTAAGGTTGTTCGTGAAGCAAGACTTCGTTGGTCTGGAAATCTTACACGAAAACGGCTTACAGCTGCCATTCTACTTTTAGTTCGTAGTGATATCCGGTTTCTCGGTTTTCCGCATATGTTTCCCACGGGTAATGAAGGTAAGAGTTAGATCGCTCAACATACTATGCAAGTTGATCAATCAGCGCTCCTGTCCAAATTCAGTACACGTTTACATCTTCAGTATGGAATTTCAGGCTGTAAATTGCAGATGCGAAAGCCCAACCGGCTTGGAGTGCGGACTGTCTAGTCTTTCTAGCTCACAGAATATCATTCGAGGACTAAAAGGTCATGAATATGCCACGATCGCTCCTACTAGTGGTATCAACACAAATGTATACAAGTTGTTTATTTCTTCGTTAAGGTAGCATTAAGCTATTATATTGCTGTAGATCGAACCAATTGAGAAATGGTATCGCTGTTTACCTTTTTTCTCCGTGATTTTTCAAAAGTATTGTCTAGAGAAAATGAGATGGAATTTTATCTTGAGTCATCGAGAGCTCTGCAAGGCGTCGCACTAGTTTGCTGGAGAGATAGGTAGACGGCAATAGAAACGAATCGTTTGGGATAAATGGCCACAAATCTGACGAGTTTAATTGAAAGTAAGGTTACAAACAAAGATTAAAATCTCTTCAGGAAAGGTGGGGTTAAAACTTTCGCCACCACTAAAAACTAAAGAAAAATACCACATAAGGTATGTTGACAGTCTGCGGGTCGGTGACCGGGAAGGTGGAGGGAAAAAGAACAAATAGTCTGAACGCTAAAAAGCAGAAAAGTTTTTCTTGCGATGATGGCAATAGTAGAAAGGGGCCGCCTGTACGAGATAACCAACCTTTTGTACTTAACTTTGACACGCGCCCATTTTTTCATTGGACAGGAGACTTCCATTGTTACCAGATTAGAGCACAACCCGCAAACTGATAAGAAATAGGAAATGCCTCGCGATAAAATAACATTATGCATTCGGTTATCGGCATAATGTTTGTTTTCAAGTTTATCATGAGAATTATATTTAAATTGTAGTTTTAATACGTTGTCAGTATCTTTTGTTTGCATTTATCGTTTGGCTGATGAAAATAAAATGAATAAATAAAAACATGGAAGCAAACTCCATGCCATTC